CTGGTAAATATAAATTGGTTATCTCCGAAGGAGAAGCATTTCACGAATCTTCTTACTGCTATCACATTGCTTCACATGTATAGATATCGAACAGACAATATGTGTCGAGAAACGTTTGTGTGTAAGATTTCCAAATGAAGAAGAATTAGTCACAAAATTAATCGTCTAGAAGAATCAAGATTTCTTTCACTTCATGTTATTGGATAGTCTTCGCAAGTAGAACGATTTTTGTATTGAAAATTTAGGCAGAATGAAAGGCCGTCGTCAACGGCCTACTACACATTCTTATCAACACGAAGGTATGCTTTTCTGAATATCCTGCATATACCAATTAGGCAGGCTATTGGTTGTAGATATCGGTTCATCGCCAATGTTCATGACCAAACTATGTTGTAGTTAGAAAGTTGTAATTAGAAATACCCGACAAAACCATAATTTCGCAATGTACGAAGAGTATCAAAAACAGTAAAGTATATGAAAAATATATCTACGACTTAGTTAAAAGACTTTTGTGGAGGTTGATTTAATTAGTAATCCACATTTTTAGCGGACCGATATCATTTGGAGTACCAGTGTATTCAAAGAACAGTGGAAATTTTTTCTTTATAGCGTGGTCTCTACTACTCACAAGGCTGCTTCTAAATAGTATGAGGTGGAGTGTCGCCCAAAATTTACTGCCTACGAGAATAGTATCGGATCCGGATGTAAATCATGATCAAAGAGTTCTGAAGACGAGAAGGGAGTCAACAATCCGCTTGCTTTACAATTGGAAGTTTGAAGAAGTGTGTGCATTTTGTTTGTAAACTGTATCCTAGCACGTGGACTCTCAGCAACGCGCATCCACGATCCTGTTGGTGAGTTGACCTAGGATCGTCATATCTGATTGATAGAGTTTAACCATTAGAACTGCCGAACTTAGATCCAAATGTGCGAACATAACTTCAATCTACTACGATGATTCTCTAACAAAACTGGGTTAGGAACTGCTGAAAAGCCCTATAACATATAAAACTGATGTCCAGTCAGTCAGTTGCAACGGAGAACTTCGTACGTATATACATAAGTTCATGTTGCCATACCACATTAGCACAGAGACGCAAATGTCAATTCAAATCCCATAGTGATAAAGATAGTAGAGGTATTAATGGTAGGTAATGAAGAAGACTAGGGTTTGAAGATGTTATTCAAGAAGTATAATTCAGTGAGATAAGGTTAGAAAGACAAAGGTAGAGGTGCTGACCAATCCAGAAGATTAAGATTTGAGAGAGCACAACGGATGGATGCATCTGCGCCATTGCAAACGATTTTGAGCCATGTCATTCAGGGTATCTAACCATCGATTATTATCATCTCGTGGACCCCAACCAGGTAGTCAGCATCTACCAACATGATTCAGTCAATTCGTCAGTGGATTTATGGATTTCTGCCATGTTTTGGTCTGGTCGCCCCTAGCTTTCTTTCAACCTACTTCTACACCACAAAACATAGCTCAAAAAAACAATGATGTCTATGGTTTACTGATCACCAATGAAACTCAAGATGAGATCAGCCCGTGAAAAATACAACCTAAAATTTACCTACATTCAGTCATATGTATTATATACCAAACCTTCCCTTCATTAGTTATTCATAAACAGAAATAAGATACACAGAAAACATCTTAAATTCACCTCTGATTCCCATTGAGTAGTATCATCATTTTCTTTTAATGGATTACTTAAACAGTATAAACGTAAACGAATATGATTGTCATGATCATTCACTTTCTCATTGTAAGAAGATTTCTGATCAAAATTAACTTGAATACAAGCATCCCCAGCGGTATCAGTATGAGTTTTATGATTTGTTAGACAATAGAAATCGATACATGTATCATTCTGTTGTTGTTGCTGTTGTCGTTTAATTGATTGAATTTCCAACTGATGATTATGTAATTCTGTAGATAATATAAAACTAGTTGTAATCCATGTACCACCAACTATACATGATGATGATGATGATGAGGAGGACGAAGAGGTTGGAACAGAGATTTCTAACTCCATATTCATACTGTTCGACAAAGTACTACTATAAGAAGATGTGAATGAAAGAAAAATCAATATTGTTCGACATAGTGAGTCGTCAACTACTTAATGCACAGCGGAAAGGTGATTTTATAAACAACTAAGGTTTTAACACTATCACATTGTTTTAAAGTACATTAAAAGAGTGAATATTATGATATTTGGACATAATCGAATAAAAGTCATTATGACTGAAATAATTTGATTTGAATTATTGAAATCTATAGAATTTTGTATGAGACAGATATTACTAAAAGTTCAATGCCTAGCAGTGAAATCATTATAACTAGGACCTATTAGTTAGATATAACTACATTCGTGGTAAATACTTACACAACGACTCAAACTTAATACATTTCACTTCAAATAACTAACATTCTGTTTAAGTAGCTATTAAATCTAAAGAGATCATAGCTTGTAACGGCTTGAATCTTTCATTCATTGATTAATGATCAATAATAGTAGTACATAACGATTAAACAAGCACAAATCATATTAAAGTATTGTTCAATTTCGTTGGTTTAATTTTCAAATGCCCATATTATCTGATAGAATTGGAACTTGAACATGCGATACTGAGTTTTAAATCATTTACAGATCCCTTAGAATTTCCCATACATGTGAACTCGAAATAAAGGAAACAGAAGATGGTAGGAAACATAATAAGAAAACATGATATTTATATGTATTGAATGATGTCAATTTCGTTTAGTCTTCATCTCTATTCTCTATCCATTCTGCTCATGTTTGTGTATTGCCTAATAGTGCTTGTTAATTTTCAGTAGACAGTCATATTCTTAATTATTTCTAAGTGGATTTTGTGAAAATGATGCTTTTGTGACATGTTAAAAGTATTTCCATAAACCAATAACATTTATTGTATTCATTAAGATGGTTGCTTCCTCTTAACCATTCTGTAAGTTATTCCCAGTTTTGTACATTCTCTCTGGATCGTTGTTTAAACGCAAGAGCTACCACTTTTGTATGCTTTTAGTTCCTGTTTTGGTTGTTGATAAACTGTTGTTGACAGTAGATGCAGCTATAAGCTTTTGTTTATTCTATCGTATGTTGTAACTACTCTTTCGGTTATTTTTGCAGAAAGTCTTCCTCGTTCTAGACTTACAGACTCGTTGATCACCACGATTTGAGGTTTCTAACCAATCTACGTACATTTCTTGATAATAGAACCGTTCTTAAAATTGGCCTTCAGCTTTACGTGTATCTTAACGGCATAGTTGGTAGCTTCGATAGAATTAACAGATGACTTTGATATTCTGAAAGCCGCTGAAAATATGCCAAACTTAGTTACAGACGTGATAATTATGAATTCAATCCATCATTTTATTAGAACTATTTGAGGGGTCTCTATTGAACGCTGACTAGATGAAATCTCTTCAGCCTCTTTCCGACTTCCAAATATTTTTTTACAGAAGTTTTCAAGGCTCTCGACGTAAGTAAGATTTTATATAGTTTGTTAAAATTCCAAATATTAAGTAGTATCCAAAGTTGGCAGATACCATTGCATGAAGGTAATATATAGTTAGATCAAATAATAAGACCGTATGATAATGCGTGACTGTGAAAAGATGCTAGACACAAAACTCCTTAAGTCTTTCTGATTGAAATGACACTGTTAGTTTATTTGGATGGAACACTAACCTAAGTTAAGAATCTACTAAAAACTTAAAAGCACTGTGCAGCCGTTTTGTCTCAGTATGGGACTCTTCAGAAGTGTACATTTACGACCACGCAACTGGAAATCAAATCCAAGATCTTCGTCCTCATGTGCAAATACTTGAGCTGTGAACCACTGTGCTGATATCCAAAGATATTCATGAATAACTACGATTAATCAAAGACAATTGAACGATTTCATGGATCGATCAAATTAGGACATGTACACTGTTGGATAATAGCTTATTAGTTCAGAGATTAAGAGTTCGCGCGTGAAGGCGAAGACCTTGGGCTCGATTCCTGATTATGGGGTCGTGTATTCATATTGCTATGTACATGTTTAAGTAGAAGTCACACAATCCTACAACACTAGTTATGAATAATAACCCAATGTGATAATTGATTGAGTACAATTACAATAATTTTTAGAACTCACAAAATATTTATACCTAAACTGAGATTGATAAACAATGTGCTACAATTACACTGACTATGTCTAACGATCAAATGATTCAAATTAATCGATCAAAAAGTGGTATTTACTTGAATAGTTTGTTTATTATTTCATTGAATTAGAAAGCACAAATTTGAATCTATAGTTCACATCACGAACTGACCTCAGTTGAATAACCACTGAAAATCAAGAAGCCCTAGACAGTTGTTTCATACATGTGTTGAGACTCCCTGGAAGATTGAAACCCCGAATGCTGAATCAGTTGCTTAAAGAGTAAGCAGTGATTGCAACACTTGGAGGTCCTTAAGCTTCATACCCGATGAGTTTGAAAATGCGTACTGCCTAAGAGTCATATATTATATATTAAAAGCTGTTCATTGCTGTTTGGTTTACAATAGTTGGTCAATGAAGGTCATCCCGTTATGCAAACTATAGAATTCATCATTCTTGATAAACATTTTGCGATAATCATGTTTAGACATTTGTAGGTTAATTGTTTGATCAAGGTGATTCTGTGGGACCTTTATTTGTTGTGAAGGAGTGTGAGAAGGAATGAGTAAATTGTGGCCCGAGGAAGTGTCTACCCACAATACTGAGGATCGGTTGGAAAGACACCATCAGCAATAACCTACTGTTGGATAGAACAAACCAGATTCCAGAGTAGGGTGAAATCGGGAAGAGCTGGAAGTGGATAGGACACACATTGAGGAAAGCACCCAACTGCATCACAAGACGATCCCTCATCTGCAACCCTCAAGATTAAAGGAAAAGAGGAAGGCCAAGAAACACATTACGTCGAAAAATACAGAAAGATATGAGAAGAATGAACAAACATTGGACAGAACTGGGAAGGGAAGCCCATGACGGAATAGGTTAGAGAATGACGGTCAGTGGCCTATACATCATGAAGGGTTACAGGCGTAAGGCATGATGAAATGGAGTTAAATATAGAAAAAAGAATCTACTCGTGTGCAAAGAATTGTTTAGTTAATGAATTGAGTCAAATGGGGCTATTCAAGCTGTGTGAATAACCAGACCTTCTTTTCCATTGAGGGCAGAAGGATTTAGCATTATATGAAATGCTTCGGCTGCTTGTCTCTCCTTATAATTAGAAGAACACTTCTGAATTACTTTGATACTTTTGACATTGATTTAGTGGTTATAGTAAATAGCATGTACTGCTATTTTCGATTAAATTAGCAACTTTTCAGAGCTCTGCCGGATTATCAGGTCCTTTTGTGCAGATTAAGTGTATTTTGGAATGAGTCGAGATTTTACAAGAAGACTGTTCAATATAGAACACATCATAACCGACACAATGTAGTTTATTAATCATTGTCAAGAGAAAAAAAACCTATATTTATGGTTTCATGTTAGCAGACAATTGACACATAAAATCAATAAGGATTTCTCCATATAACTTGACCGGAAATTCACCTATAACAAACAGTTATTATGTGGTGTGAGCTACTTATAAGTAGTATATGACGTGAGCGTCAACGTAATGTCTGGCAGCGGGAGATGGGGAAAGATCAAGAGAAAGGAAGAGTTAGAAGAACACAATGGAATTTGTATGAAACGCATCATGAATAGTGACAATGGATTGATGTTTCGCAACAGGAACAGTCCAGTTCGATAGGATGAACTGATCTTTTGCAAATGAACAATTTACGACATAGTTTTCCAATTTTACTGAGTAACTCTGTAATTCGGCTAGATATACAATTTGGTTGCCCCACCTGTGTTCTCGTTCACTACAATTATTCCATACCCTATAGACGGAATAATATTGTAACATTTATTAACAATTTTCATCAATCACAACTAACCTGACATGATTAGATTTAACTTTAGTAGATGATGATATTGGTATTGAATGAGGCTTTTTTTGTGATGAAACTTTTGTTGAATTTTTCAATGTTTTGTGAGGTAGTTTAGATTTAGGAGAATGAACAACATTAGACATTAAATACATGACATATTTTTTGCATAAACGTAAACATTGAAAGTGTAAATTAGCTGCTTTCAATGTATAACCACCAGATTTAGAAAAATCTATATGTGTAAATTAAAAATAAAAAAGGAATAAGGCAGGCTAAATTAGATTTTCATGAATGACAAAGTGATAAGTATAAAAACTTTGAGTGATGTTACATATTTTGAGTTAGATGGTTTACTTCTTGAGACTTCCATGTTGTCTTTCTGGGCAGTAGCATTAATGCCTACCCCATGAAGAGGAGAGCTTTTCAATTATCTTGCAAGTGTTACGTTAGTTCAACCTCATGAGAATTAGCTCCACTAGAGGAAATCAGTAAAGGATGAATCAAAATATTGAGTCAGTTTTTGAAGTCACCGTCTTTCTAACTGAACCCCGTAGGTAGACGGAGACTACCTCGTCAAGGTATACGCAGTTATCATGAATAACATACTTCAAGTGGTGTTCGTCAGGGCTTTCAACTTTCTCCATTTTCATTTAACTTTGTCATTGACGTGTTCTTAGAGATAACACTTTCATCATCTGACTTTTCAGGGATTGACTTTCACTAAGAGAATCGTTTGCCGATGACACAGTTCTACTTGGTGAAGACACCGACAAAATACAGGGTCTTCTGACCACCCTAAGCAACAATGCAAGCATGTTCAGGATGCAATCCTCCCCCTCGAAATGTAGTGTTGCTTCACGATTTGCTCGCATCGGCAAAGGAACTAGTGATAGGGAGTGAAGTAGTTGAGCGTGTCGACTGCTTCACTTATCTCGGGAGTCTCATCAGTGCTGATGGTCTGGTGACTGACGAAATCTCTGCACGGATACATAAGGCTCGATTGGCTTTTGACAACCTGCGTCACTTATGGTGTAGGCAAGATAGCCGTCCTATTTTATGGACGCAAATCATGGCCGCTAAGAGTTGAGGATATTCGTAGGTTATTAGTATTTAATTACTGATGTCTTCGAAGTATTGCTCGTTTATCCTGGGACAACTGAGTAAGCAGCGATGTCGTTAATAAACAAGTACTAGGTAGGAATGGCAAATCAATAAATGAAGTATTGAAACTTCATTAGTTGAGGCATTTGGCACATGTGTTACGAATTTCCAACCACCAAATGCCTCAACGAGAGACGTTAGTCATGTTGGTCGGTGTAGACTACCTGGTTGGAGTCCGCAAGCCGATAGTAACCGATAGTTAGAAACCTTGAATGACATGGCTTAGCTCAGGTGCATCCATTCTTCGTCTTTTCTTCAACTGTCATCTTCAGAATTCCTCATCACCTCTATCTTTCTCTTTTTTAAAATTTATTTCACCAGATTATACATTGTGAATAATATCTTCGATCCATAATCTTCTTGATTACCACCAATACCTCTGCTACCTCTACTACTATAAGATTTGAATCGACAATTGCATCTTTGTGTCAATGTGGTATGCAAACTTGAAATGATGTACGTACGTACGAAGTTCTGCGTTGATGACTGACTGACTGACTCAGATATTGGCTAACAGCTCAGCATCGATATATATATATATATATATATATATATATTGGGAGAGAGACCTAGAAGATTCTATAATTGCACACTTTCTAAAGTCATATCCCATAAAAACAATAATAATTAGACATGCAGACAGTGACTGGAGACGTTTGAATAGTTGATGGATTATATACATTAGGTGTCCCAACACATAACACAAAATACATAAAAATTGGAGCAAAATGAATACATTTTAATAATACTAATTTTTAAAAGAAGTATAATATGTGTATAAAACTATTACTGACTATTTTGAGAGTGTTGCTTCATAGTTTTTCCATTTGAAATATCTTGTTTTAATGAGTGTATGTTATTATTAGGTTGTTTGAATAAATTATTTGTAGTCAATAATTCATTTTCGTTGATAGATTTCTAAAGAGAATTTAAAACAAAATAAAATAAAATCTACAAATTCCATACATAGTCAAATGCCTTTCAAGACGTAGAAAAGCAATACGAATAATATTGAGTAAAGAAAAATTGAAATCTTACTTTTCAGGGACGTAAGTAACAGAGGTTGCTGATAATCTCTTTTAGTTAAGATCGTTAAATTATGATTTGAACTTTCTCAACGATTTAGTTTTATGGAAAATGAACACTAATTTCGGATGTATGCAAAAATGGTAGTGTAGTGCCGCCACATATATTCCAGTTCGCTTACATCTACCTTGGCTAAGCCCTTTCGATTAATTTATTTAACCAAGCCATTTGTATTGCAACAATTTATATGTACCATTCGTTCTTATTATTGTCTGGCTTATGTAAGCTCACATGACGTGTCTCACTTGTCATTTAACCTTGTCAACTATTCGTCACTTTTATTCATGTGTGCCTATTTCGCTTGTTGCATGTCTGTATTATATATTTGTCTGACTATATATTCTTAGTCATGCTCTATTTCTTTGAGTTGGCTTATTAGCCATCTCCACATCGCTTCTTTCGCCCATTCGTTCGCATTGTAATCCTGGGAGTTGGCTCAACAGCCTTCTCCAATTCACGTCACATCATTCGTTTTATTTGCTGCTTCGTTCATTCTTTCGCGCATTCGCTTGCCAGTGTACACAAATGGTGATCCCGATGTCAACAAAATTGGCCATCCCAGTAGGTTTCAGTAAAGTGGAATGCTAAGAATCTACATTATAGGCTGATACCAGACTGGGCATAAATACTGCTACTGCTAGATGATCGTATGATCATTTAGGTTTCAGAAATAAAATCTAAATCAGAATGCTCATCAGCAAACAAACAAATACAGGACTATAGACGTATCATAACACTTTTTCTGATTGTTACGTGGTCCAGATGTTTTTTCCTTCCTTTGGTTATAATCTTGGAAAGAAGTTGAATCATCCTACGCTATACTATGTAATGTTTCTCTTTACAAACATTAATTTTTTAATGGTACTGATAAAGAGAAATATCGGTTTTTATTCACGATCATTTATCACCCAAAAATGATCATGACTATGTTATTTTCCTAGTGAATTTATGTTTCTGACAAACTAACCATTAAAGACAACGGATAACCATTATATAGTCTAAAATTTAATTAGCTCTGATTATAAGGTTAATATGCATCGTAATGACTTACATTTAGGATAAATGTTCAACCAAAGTGATTTGTAAATCATGTTTTTTGTAAAAAAAAAAAGAACATTAATGTGCCCTTACTTTAATTGCATGCATTCAATACTGCATGATTAGACGCATAAATGAGCATAGATTCCGAATACTCGATACAATAAATATTGTCTGTGATACTGAATATATCTGCAAATGACTGTCTTGATTATGTGAAATACACTACTGCGTGACTACTTGCCAGTTTTTCAAGTACAGTAACAATATTCCTACTACTAATACTACCACTGATCTTTTTGTTTTAACTGAGTTATTCCATCTATGATTATTGTCGACCTTGAAGCTCAATAATTAATTCAAATATACTAGTTTATCTCTGCTGTTCAGTAAGAAGAAAATACTAAATTATTCCAGTTTACATCTTACTATTTTAAGTACTTCGTGGATGCTAAACGATTTCATGAGAATGATTCAGGTTAAAATTAATTTCAAGTCGGACCGAAGCAACAAAAATTTCCTAAAAGATTCTGATTTTCATTCTTAACAAGGTCGTACAAATACACACTGTTGAAAAGTCCTGTACTAACTAAAACGGAATAGCTATTCAATACTTCGTAGTTTTTAATGTTACTTCAATAATGATGAATAAAACTAATAACGTATAAATGTATTTTTGTTAGTTTTCAATGACATGTGGATGTTGTTTACAGAATCATTAAAAATTAAGAAACAATGATGTTAGGATCTTCAGTAGTGAACATCAGCACCTTTGTTAGACGTTTTATTCACGTGGTGTCGATGTCGACTGATGATAAAAAAAATTTACGTAAAGGATAAACATTTTTCACAAATCCTTCCCTACTGTTGGGGACGTTAGATCCCCGAAACTCATTTGAAAAGGGTCCTAATTTTAAATTTTTTACTTTTCCGCGCATAAGTCGCTTAGTTGACCTTGGGCCTACATTTCCCACTCGGAAAATCCTTAAGTGTCATCGGTTGATGTATTATTTTAGTACGCTATTTTTTTGGCTCTCACAAGGACGTTTCTGTCATGTACGAATAGGCTAGATTTGTGTGCTTGTCAACATCATAATCTCTGGGCGCTTGTAGGATACATTCTCTACTCCTTATCAAGACTTCTTGATTTAGTTAACCGGGCCGGGGTCAAATGGATTACAATAGCCTATAGTTTCACTGCATTATTGATCTATGCTCCATCTACCGAGTAAGGTGAACTTGTAATAGCATTCAAGCATATCAGCTTCGAGCATATCACCTACTTTAGTAATTCTGTTTCTTTCCTCGGCCAACAGTCATGATATTTCATTTCTTAAACAAGGCTTACAAGTTAGTTGATTTACTTTATCCACCACATACATATCATTCAACTAAAAGTGTTAAGCACTGCATATCATAAATTAATAGCTTACTTCTTTATTATATAATAGATTTTCAATCAATTTATCATCTTCTTTTATATATTCTGAATTTTCATGTTGAACAACCTTGTTATTCTTTGATGATGAATAATCTTCTGTGATACCAATTCTTCGACTTGTATCTCGATCACAATGTACACGTTTTTTACAATCAGCTTGATACTGACGATGACGACTGGATGTATTGACTTGAACTACGCCATCACCATCATCATCACCCTCATCAAACGATTCATTGTCAAGAATATATTTCACTAAATCAATATTGTTTGATTTAGTTTTCAATGGTGTTGTTAACTGGTGACGATTAGGCGTTCTACTGCCTGAATCAAATTTTTGCCTAGGTGAACATGCTTCAAATACAATACTTCGTAGATCAGGACTAGAATGATGACGTAATCTATGGTGGGTGCAAAAAAATAAATAAATAAATAAATCCAATAATCAATATCGAATGGTCAATTGAGTTAGTTAATAAACATGAATACTGATGAAAACTATCCTTCCTTTTTGATACGAATTAGTTTCAATTAAAATTAAAATGCATGTTTCAATAGAATTTCATGTAACGTGTAAATTTCGATTAATGATGAGCGTGATAAGATGATGTAAGCTTTCAGAAAATTATGAGGATTCAAAAAAAACTACTCCATTTGAAACACACATACAATATACTATTTAAATAAATTTAAGTTACTAAGATGCCAAAAAGTAAACACTGTATTTACATCAGTTAAATTAAGTGACTAAATAACTAAGATAACCTGATGTTTTTTTAGTTTAAGGTTCATCAAGATAAGAATATGTTTCTTTGATATACCTAGCTCTTATTCTTGAATCGGAATTAGTTAGTGCTTCTGTCTTTTGAAGGACTACATTTCTTTTTATATCATAATTAACTGGTTCAATAAGAAATATATCACTACGTCATGGGAAACGTTTAGGTAGATAATACGGAGTTTATATATATGTTAGGATATTCATCCAATATCCTAAGAGAACTATTGGTCAATTCCTATTGGTTCATTCCTACTGTTCAATTTTATGGTCGTCCTGGCTATCGATGTCACGTGCTCCACTGTTGTTTCTCATTGGTTGTCCTGACTATCAATGTTACTTCCTATTGGTCGTCTTAACTGTCAATGTCACAGACTTCGATGCTGTTTCCTACTCGACCAAAATGTATAAATACGCATTATCTGTAACGTTTTATGACCACGATCAGGACCCGGTCCGGAATCCCTAGTCCGGGATCCTGATTCTCTTCTGGATTCGGACCTCGTACTTCCTGGATGTTTGTATAATACAGGTTCCATTTCATATCAAGTCTTCTTATTTTTACTCATTTTGGGGGATGGGATAATCGGATTTGCGTAGCCTGTCGTGTCACCGGATCCTCGCTCTCGTTTTCCGACTAGGTAAACTCGTAATAGTTCAAGCACATCAAATGATGTGTTTACATGCAGGCATAACTATATATATATATATATATATATATATATATATATATATATATATATATATATATATATATATATATTGAGCAGAGATGGATAGGCAGTGGCTACGGAATCAAGGACTCATATTTCATTCTATTTAGTACTCGCCATTATCTATCTCTGCTTAAAATACTTTCCAATTGGTGAGGATATCGAGGCAATCTGTATAAGATGCAAATATTTCAAAAGAGATTGACCAACTACAGTCTCAAATATATCAATAGAACGAATCAAGAAATCAATATTAATGAATTATAATCAATGTAGTGGCTTATGAGATGTTTGAAAGTAATTAGTCAATTAGCGAATTAAAAGTTATTTATTGTTATGACGAAAATATACAAAAAAAAACCATTCACATAAGCAACATCATCCGTTATGCATGAGCATCTTTCGGCGGATACAGATGATTTTTTTATTCTAAGCCATCTTGGCACTAAGTTTTCATAATCTGCATCACTAGATTCATACTACTTATTATACCTAAAGTAGCATGACTTCAAATCACTAAAGTTTCTTGTCGAAATTCAACCAGCTAGACAGTTCTTTGGCTGTTTACTTTAGAATCCCTTACCAAGGTACATCCAATATTCCACGCGGACAAAATAACTCTCCACTGATGTCTAATTTTAAGTAGTCTTCTAGTCAAAGTCAGTCAAGAGTGTAAATCTGCTTAGCTTAAATTAAACGACCTTGATAATAAAGTTGGTATTTGCTAATACTAATAATGTGATATAAACTACCGTCAATAAACACAAGGAATCTAGTAGGTCACGGACTGAGCAATAATGATTTGAAATATATAAAGAAATATGATTTAGCTTCATAGTTTGATAGTAGGTAATAATTGAAGAGATTTATTCCCCTAGAGACTGGAATTTGAACACTTTTAATAAGACAGGATTTATGTTCTAATATCAAATTAACTTTCTCAATTGATGACATTCAGTCATAGATTAATGACTGTTTTGTTACATACTGGATTGTCTAACATGTGTTTCGAACCTATTAATCAGTCACGAAAAATCTTAGTATAACAAGAAGACCAAGAATTGTCTAGTTCTTCAGTGTTAATCAAATTCTGTCAGAAAAATTACAGAGTGGCTGCTAGTCTAAGTAATTTGATATTGCGTGCACTATGTTGAGATGCTAGGTAGTTGGAGACACCTTACAGGATACTCTGCTTGACCAAAGTTTTGTCCTATCTCACGCTCATCAGAAAGATATACCTGTAATATCATGGGAAGTGATACTTTCTGATTGATTCAAATCTCCATCACCAAACACTAAAGAACTAAACAAATGTGAAATTGATCACTACTCAATGATCAGTAAAATATAAACATCTCATTCATATAGGAAACCATTCACTGTCAAAGAGCTCTGTGGTAAAGCATTAGACTGTGAGAATGAGTGAAGCAGTTTCAAGTCTTTCTTGGAGCCTCAGTTAACTTACAATTACAGGTATAACTAGAGGAATTTTAATCAACATGAAATCTACTAGGTTAAGTATGCTGTTCCGTCGATTAGTTTTAACCACTGGAAAAACATAAGTTCTATTTGTTATGTAGTTTTACGTTTGATGTATTGTAGATAAATATCAAATTATTTTTATGTCATGGTATCATAATAGATAGAAAATTTAGACTTTATTCAGTACTGTTTATTAATACCTTTATGGAATAATGATGACTCTTCTCTTATGGTAATCTAAGATTTGCTTTGGTTTCAAACCAATCTAGTTTGTAGTAGTATTTAAAGAACATTGGTTCATAACACATGATCTAACTAACTTAAACAAGGGAGATTATAATTATGGTTCAGCATTATTTATTGCGTAAGCGAATATCTTCCACTATCTTCCTATGTTAAGAAAATAGATGACACGATAAATGACTCCAGTAGATTTTAGAACGTCAGAACGTAATAACCCGAAGGTAATTCAGTCAGTCAGCAATAACTTAAAACTTCGTACGTACGCACATCAGTTCAGGTTGCCATACCATATTAGAACACAGATGCAATTGTCACTTCAAATCGCATAGTAGTAAATGTGGCAAAAGTTTTAGTAGTAATTAAAAAGATTAAGGTTCGAAGAAATCATTCGGGAAGTATAATTCAGTGAAAATTGATAGGAGAAAGATGAAAGTGATGAGGAATTCGGAAGATTAGAATTTCAGAGAAAACAAAGAATAGATGCACCGGCCTCATTTCAAACGATTTAGTGTATGTACTCTTAAATCTTGGTTAAACGACAAACCTGCTGCACATGCACATCACTGCTTTTTAGGCAACAAAAGGATTCTCACTGTAGCCGTTTTAGTGGCCACCCCTGCCCCAATAGGGAACGAACATGTTGTCCAGTATGGCCCGCAAGCAGGTCGGACGTCCAAAAGTCACGCACACGAACAATGGACCCCATTCGGGCACTTATGGATCAACAAGATCCCTCCACCAATCCAATACACGAAATCCCCAATCGGCATGAGCGGCAAGGCGGGCTTACCCAGCTGGACCTAGCACCCCGAACGGATTATCGAGCCACCCAGCAGTGCACTAACCAGCAGCCGTTCCAACCGTCTGACCCTTGTTTAAGGGGCCTCGACGTCAATTGACACAATACACCGCTATGCAGTGTTTGGGACAACCACATAGGGTCGGCGTCAATAGTTCAAGATCTCCACGGCTGCTTCCCCAAACAAATCGTCTAGGGCCGCCTTCAAGTATCCTGGAAAGCTATATCCTTTTCAAGATATTTGCTACTACCGGAATGATAGGGGACAAGTCCTCAAACCATTATTTTAATTTACCTACGCTCGATGGACGGGATTCAGACTTAGAGGCGTTCAGTTCTAATCCCTCCGAGTCGCTAGCCGCATCCACAGCCTTGCGACCATGAACACGTACCATTATTCTGGACCATGCTAGGCATGCTAGGTATCCTAAGCGTTCGGAACGGCTTTGGTCGCAGCGCTGTAAATAACGCCACGTTTCTAACGGGTCCACGAAGAGGCAGCCGCCACCACAACCCCTAGAAAGCTCCATTTATGCGCGTCAAATAATATACCCATTCAATTAGATGACGAAGGCATTTGGCTACCTTAAGAGAGTTATAGTTCTTAATTTTGTGAACAATAAATAATCATCTACTTATTGTACATTTTAAACCTATCTCATTGACGTTGATTTCTGTTTGTGATATTTGCAAAATAAAACACAGCTATGGTTGTTTTTTCCAAAATCCTATTTTGTTATTTTTAAGCTAGTTTTATTTGAACAAACAAACAAACACAGTATTCTCACAAATTGTCATCAAGCAAAAAAATAGAGAAAAAACTCATATGAATCAAATAACGCATAAAAAACAGTAAAACAAAAACAAAAATTGATTTTTGACTAACTTATTAAATGTTACACTGTTTGTGCATCGTCCATGCCTAACAGAAAATTGAGATTCTCTTGACATATTCACAACAGCATCATTATTCATATCGTCTTCATTAGGATCATGATGAGTAGTAAATATTGATGAACAACTTAATGCTTCACGTAGCTGTTTACTTTTTTCTAATGCAACTGATAATAACTCATCTCTTTTTGAATTATAATAATAATGATGAACATGATTATTTCCTTGATGACAGGATAAATTGGTTTTATGTTTATTAATGAATTCATTGTCGCCAGATGATTGAATAGGAAGTGTATAGAATTTATAATTATTTGAATGATTAAGTAAATTTAAATGATGAATTGAATGATTATTGTTTTCATCAAGTGATCCAACGTCTAAATCAATTGGATGTTCATGAACAACAGCATTATGATTTTGTTGAGATTGAATTGAATCAATCTGTGTAATAAGCAAGGAAAGAAAAAAAGATTATATGAAGACATTTGGATGTGTGATGATTAATTTTGATAAGGAATGAACAAAATTCAAAAGAATATATCAGTTAGTCAGTTATAATGTAGAGATTGGTACGTATGTTAATAAGTTCAGTTTGCCATACCACATTAGCATAGAGACCCAATTGTCAGTTCAAATCCCATAGTGGTAGATGTAGTAGAAGTATTAATGGCAATCAAAAAGATTAGGGTTCGAAAATATTATCCAAGACATATTACATCCAGTAAAATTATTTTTGAAAAAGAAAGATAGAGGTAATGAGGAATTCAGGAGATTAGGATTTCAGAGAACACAAAGAGTGGATGCATCGGCAACATTCCAAATGATTTTGATCCATGTCATTTTAAGGTATCTAACCATTGATTACTATCATCTCGCGTACCCCAACCAGATAGTCTACACCCAATAACATGGATTTGGGCCACGTTTTGGATTGGCCGTCACTAGTTTTCTTCCAACCTGCTCCTAAATCTCAAAACATCGCTCTTCAAGGTAGTTGGTGGTTGGACATTTGTAACACATGTCCCAACCGCCTCAACTAATGAAGTTTCAATACTTCATCTATTGATTTGCCATCCCTGCCTAGTACTCATTTCCTAACAACAGCATTGCTTACTCGGTTGTCCCAGATATACGAGCAATGCTTCGGAGACACCTATGATCGAAGACAAGCAATCTATGAATGTCCTCTACTCTGACTGGCTATGATTCACGTCCATATTGTAGGATGGAACGAACTGCTGCGTAGTGCACACGCCCTTTGGTTGGCAAACGGATATCTCGCCAACCCCATAAGTGTTATGAAAAAAGTATTTAGATCACATACTAGGTAAAATTGTTTTAACCCATCCAGTCAATCGTATTCAATATACAACCTGGCACTAATATGTGTCAGTTCAAGTTACTAAGTCATATTGTCACAATCATATGGTATTAACAAAATGAATCAAAAGATGAGTCAGAATAGTTTTAACCTAAAATGATCGTGAGACAGACTGAACATGAAAGAATTAAGCTCAAACAGAAGCAATTTATGAAATGTTTGAAAAATTAATGTACCTCTACCACTGTGATCAATTCTGAGTCATATCACTCAAAGGCCTTAACTACAACCTATTCACCTTTAATGCTGCAGAATTCATGAATACTATAGTGGTGAATGGTGTTCACAAGGTGGCATGTAAGTAGTATGTTAGTGTAGCGTGGCCTAGAAGTCGCTTTCAAAAAGACGAAGGCCTGGAGATTGAAATGCATGTCGCGATTTGAGTATATGAAAACCTAGAAGAAAGTTAGTATCCTACTTGGGTTGCAAACAGATTTTTCTAAAGATTATGTGTATATATATTTTGTAATCGAGCGGTGCCTTCTTCAAATATCGATATGTTATCTGCTTTCAACTACTTTGTATATTACTCTGTGACCTTGATGGACTGTAGACACAGTATGTTCACCAACTGGTCAACTATTTCCCATAACCTGTTGCCATAGCAACCGAACACAATTAAAATGTATTTGTTAATTCAGAAGATTTCAGAACAATATTTAACTAATATTATCGTTATAGAAAAATTCATACAGAATTCAGATCAATAATGGTACTTAGTGAAAAAGGCATGTCAAAAAACAAAATTTTAGGAGTCAGGAGTATAAAAACGACATACTTTATTATATTTCAAGCAATTTTTACAACATGAAACACAGTCAATTAGTCAATCAATTGCAACGTAGAATCAGGTATGTCAGTCAGTCAGTCAGTCAGATGCAACGTAGAACTTCGTACATAAGTACATCAGTTCATGTTGCCATACCACATCAGCACAAAGATATAATTTTCAATTCAAATCCAATAGTAGAAGAGGTAGTAAAGGTATTGTAAGTAATCAGAGAGGTTAGGATTAGAAGATATTATTCAAGAACTATGATTCAGTGAGAAACTTTTAGATAGTCGAAACTAGAGGGGTTGAAGAATCCAGAAGATTAGGATTTGAGAGAACACAAAGAATAAATGCACCGGCGCCATTGTGAACGATTTTGAGCCATGTCATTCAAGGTCTCTAACCATCGTTTATTATCATCTCGCGGACACCAACCAGGTAGTCTACAATTACCGACATGGCTAAGTCCACTCGTCAATGACTTCATGGATTTCCGCCATGTTTTGGTTTGGCCGCCCCTAACTTTCTTCCAACCTACTCCTACACTACAAAACAAAGCTCGTCGAGGCAGTCGGTGGTTGGGCATACATAACACATGTCCCAACCACCTCAACTGATGAAGTTTCAGTACTTCATCTATTGATCTGCCATTCTTACCTAGCACCCTTTTCCTAATAACAGCGTTGCTCACTCGGGTGTCTCAGGATATACGAGCAATGCTTCGAAGACACCTATGATCGAAAACCAGTAACCTACGAATATCTTCTACTCTCACTGGCCATGTTTCACAGCCATAAAGTGGGACGGAGCAAACTACTGCACAGTACACTCGCCCTTTAGTCGGCAAACGGATATCTCGCCTACGCCATAAGTGACGCAGGTTGGCAAAAGCCAATCGTATGTACATTCGTTCAAATTTCCTTATCCTATTAGCACTGAGAGATGAAACTGTCAAGCTGAGTACTGGTGTAGTAAAGGTAGTGATAATATCAGTGATGATGTAAAAGAAGAGTCTTAGTAAATACGTTACGAAAAAAAGGTGAGTCAGTGAAATGAAGAAATTGTGATGAATTTAGACGATTTTGAGCAATATCATTCGACGTTTCCAACCGAGAGTTACAAAAATCACGCGGATCCCAACCAGGTAGTCCACACTGAATCTAGTTGTTAATGATTTCTTAAACTAATGCCATGCCTTTATTTGACATCCCCTAGTTTTCTTCCAGCCTACTCTTACACCAGATAGCATCGCTCATCGAGATAGTCAGCTGCCGGGCATTTGTAACATATGTCCCAACTACCTTAATTGGTGAAAGTTCAATGCTTCATCAAGTGATTCGCCATCCTTATCTTGTTCTTTAGACTTGAGCTAGACACAGCTTACTCGATAGTACTAGAATACACGAGCAGTATTTCAAAAACACCTATGATGGGGTAGTATTTACTTCCGAATATTCTTTATTCTTAAAAGCCATGTTTCACGCTCACTAAATAGAATGGAGTGAACTGTTTTGCATTAAACTTGCCTACGCCATAAGTGACACAAGTTGAAGAAAACCAATCGAGTCTTATGGATCCATGCCGAAATTTTCTCAAACATCAGACCATTCCCAATAGTTAGTCCAAGTGCGAATGCAAGCCGAATCTAAAGGCGACATTTTAGGCAAAATCACACTCCAAACATTGCTACTTGCGATGGCTATAAGACTGCATTTTATTAACGTTATCATCAAAAGCAACTGTTATTTTCGTATTCAAAATCAACAAGTGCATCCTACTGGCAAAAGATCAACTCTATATAAAAGTCAGACGTTGAAAGTGTTACGTGAAACCTATTCACTTACAGCTTTAGATAATTTGTTCTAAAATGAAAAAAATATATATATATTCATTTTACCTGTTCATTTATATCAATTTGATCATTGCTAGTAAGTGAAATTTCATGTTCTTGTCTAAGTGAATTCAGTGAATTTTCATCATTTTCTGTTTTTTTCTGTATAACACCACCACCATCAGCATGATCAATTTCTTTCCAATTAAAACGTGTACCAGTAGGTTTAGGATTTGAATCTTATAAAAATCATAAAGTGTACAGAAAGTGTTGGATTAAATAAGAAAATACAAAAGCAAAAAGTTAGTCGTATAACAGAAGAAAAAGCCAATAACTTAATTATATTGAGTAATTGCTAAGCAGTGGTCAATGTGTCATGTTATTCGAGTACTTTCGAATTCTATAAGTCCAGTTGCAATGAACCAGCTAGTCTAAATGACTCGACAATGTGGGTATTATATTCTATTGTCGGATGACTGCTCTCAACAGGAAATAGAGAGATCACCTGTGGTGTACTGCGCAGCAGTTCGCTCTGTCCTACTATACGGATGCAAAACATGGCCAGTGAGAGTAGAGGACATTCGTGGGTTACTAGTCTTCGATCATAGATGTCTTAGAAGCATTGCTCGTATACAGTGGGACGACCGAGTAAGCAATGCTATCGTTAGGAAACGAGTTCTAGTTAGGGATTGCAAATCAATAGATGAAATATTAAAACTTGATCAGTTGAGGTGATTGGGTTGTGTTACGTATGCCTAACAACCGACTGCCGCGACGAGCTATGTTTTGCAGAGTGGGAGTAGGTTGGAAGAAAGCTAGGAGCGGCCAGACCAAGAAATGGCAGAAATCCATGAAGTCACTGACAAATGGACTGAGTTATGTCGGTAGTTGTCGACTACGTGGTTAGGGTCCGCGAGATGATAATAATCGATGGTTAGAGACCTTCGAAAGACATGGCTCAGAATCGTTTGCAATGGCGCAGGTGCATCCATTATTTGTGTTCTCTCTAATTCTAACATTCTGAATTCCTCATAATCTCCATCTTTCTCCTTCTAAATTTATCTCACTGAATTATACTTCTCGAATCATATCTCCGCTCCCTAATCTTCTCCATTACTGCTAATACTTCTATTACTGATATCACTCTTGGATTTGAACTGGGTGCTTAGTCTAACGCGAACTGTCGAAAACTAGACAGATTGGACATCAATTTATGATAAGCAAATATAATTGTTTAAATGTTAATAGTTTTTTGAAATACTGTAAGGACAAGCAAAATACTAAAGACCAATAAATCAAAATAAATATTGTATTAAATCTTTTAAGTGAAAAACATATTAGATAGTGGACATTTGAAAATAATAATCCATGAATTATATGTGGTAAACGAGAACAACTTTTGCATCAAACTTTTTATTCATGATGAACACAGAGTCAATTTTGTAAGATAAAATAAAACTTTGATGTAGATTGTACTGTAAATCTGCCGGGGATGTTAGATCCCCAGAACTCGCTTGATAAATATCTTTATATTGGATTTATCTCATGGACCGATCAGTTGACCTTGAGGTTACATTTCCCACCAGGAAAATCTTTAGCTGTGATTGGTTACTGTGTTACTTTAGTGTGCTGTTTTTGTGACTGTTCCAAGGATGTCTCTATGGAGTATAAATAAACGCATTTTGAGTGCTTGGAACGATTGTGTGCTGGCTGGGTTCTTTTGTAGAATACACTTTCTACGCTATATCAAGACTTCTTACTGGTACAATTGGGTCAAGGGATCACAGTAGCCTACTTGGATGCTGGTTCATTATTTTGTTCTCGTTATTCGACTAAGGGTGAACCCGTAATAGTTTTAAGCATACTTAAAGACGATCATAACAAGATCCAACAATAATATTCGAGTAAAGAGCTTCTCATGAAGTAATGCTTAATAAGGAGCGACATGATATGAAGGCTTAACAGTTATCAACAAAATTAATTAAGATGTATACAAAGTCAAGTTGATTTTTTAATTGGTTTCATTTTATCATCATGTACTGAAGAAATATGAAATTAAGCATATATAAACATTTAATCTCAGTAGCACTGACAATCTAATCTCTTAACCAGGAAAATAAACCGGTACTTTGGGGCTAAACAACACCAATTAATGGATTCATTTTTAAATTTAAAAAAAAACACAACTATTACAATGACAATATTTGCTTAAATAAAACTTACTCAAAACTGGTTCAATCATTAAAGATATATTTAAATCACCCAATTTTTCACCAGCTTCATTAATTACAGGTAAAATGCTTTACAGTTAAAACAAGAAAATCAACATGAAAATTCATCAGTTATTAAAAGAAAAGAAAATGTTCCTTTTTATTTCTTCAATTAAATTTATGAAGATGAGTGTTTGTTGCACATCTGAAATCATCAATCAATCATTATTAGACCAGCATTAGAAACCTGGAAGCACTGAATGGCCGTTTCGTCCTGGTATGGGGACTCATCGGCAGTGTACATTCACGACTCCTGCACTTTGCAGGATTTAAAAATGTAGAAAAAGGTTAGATATCAGTGGTTTATGGGTGATATTGAAAGATTATCATCAGTTTTTGGTATTCGTATTTGTCCTAGGCTAGTCATTCCACCAGTTTAAAAAACAACGGTATGAAATGTTATTTTGTTTTAAGTAAGCCATAAACAGAGAGAAAATGTTAAGAAGAAGACTTTCGTAAAATACAACATCATATCTATGAATTATCATTTTCTTATTGAATATAGATTATTCTTGTGTGTTGAAAGATAGTTAGTATACAGTTTTGAATGCATGTCAATTCCAGGTGATTGTCACTTCTGGAACTTAACATTAGTGATTCATCTCAACCTGAAAATTTACGTTTCTTTAAAATCAGATTGTAACGAGTGGTGACGTCTAGGACAAACGTTTCGGCCTATTTAGAACTCATCAGCTGTACTTCCTGAGTTTTACTTCTGTCTTCATGGAAGTACCAAGGCAATCGACTCACCAAACGTGTATCCTAAAATACACTACTGACAAAACGTAGTTTTTAATGCCTAAAACAAGACGATTCGAATTTTTCAATAATACATAACCAACAATTTATGGTTTCAACATTTAACATGCAGATTAACTAATGACTGTAAACACAAAATTTAATATTAAAAATAATTCAATATTATTTTAAAAATTATAACTCTTCTTACGTATCGATTGGTGTAGTTGTAGTCAAACGATCAATTCTATCTAATCGTCCACGTCCAATAATTTGATTATTAATATCTATTACATCCAGACGTAGTTCACGCATATCTACAACAACATACAAATATCTATTCAAAAATCAACTGATGAAAGCGTAAATTAGGCAAAGTAATATTTTACCAGAAAATTCACGTAATTATTACAAACTGTCAACTAAAAGCAACCAATGTAGTCGATATGATATGCAGGGAATATGTCAATGAATTCTTCAGCTTTGTGGTCCATACGTTGAAAATTGGGATCAATCACATTTTTTATCAGTATTATTATGTAGTTTGTAAGTGTATGATATATATATTGTAAAAAAATTAATTACTGGAATAAAACGTTTTAATGTCCAAGCCATTGTACAATCATCATTGACAAATCTTTAGTTACATCTATCGAAATTACAACAGACGTTGTAATACAAAAGACCAGTCAATTCTATAGTGAAGCAGTTATCTACCGAAGATGTTAGATAAGGATAACGCTATACCTTGAGGACGTAACCGTGAATGTATGCAATTAACTTCTGTCTCGCTGATATAAATTTACTGTGATTGATAAGAGATGTAAAAGCAATGAGGCTGATTGGATGCAAGGCGTGAATGTACTCCACAGTGAAGTTTTAGTCTCCTTCTAAGTCCACCATCTTTCTGTGTTTGGTGTTAGTTAGCAATCGAAAAAACTTCCAGAACAAACGCTTTTCACCTTCGAGAACGAACTAATTCAGACTGAAATAACTGTACAACGTACAACTTAAGTTAATTATTTAGATTTTAACTGTAATTAAAAATATATCACACCTTTCAGATAGTCACTAAATCGATTTAACGGCACGGTAATTTTGTAACGAGCTTTAGTGCATGTTGCCTGTTTGTGTCCAACTTTATGTGATAATCGAGGGTAAAAAATAGCACATTGCTCTCTAGCTGGTTCACCCCACCATCGAACTTGTACATAAATATTATCTAACGAATGCTGACGTCTTGACCCGGTGTATGCTGAGTTTGGACGAAATAAGCGAACAATCAGGATGAGATAGGCTGTTGCTTTTGAGTCAATTCCAGGAGGTAAGTTCGTATAAACTGCGACAAGATTACGTTGATTGGAGTGGAATGAAACTCGACTTGATCGTTCTGAAAAACAAAGATATATTTCTTACTTGAAAACGTCATAAAAATTGTTATCGGAAAGTGGTTTTCAGCCTAATGAAAGCTGTACCTACGATTTCAACATATGGCTTTATATGATGTTTGTTTAACGGTTGGTTACATTATAATCTTTTGACAGTATTTATAATTTCGTACTCTCGATAAATTGAGAATGATATTCAAAATGGGATCTCAGTAAATCCATGGACTGTAAGGATTATAAAACTTATGTAGTTTTGGATTGTTTAGAGGATTTACAGTTCCTGGGGACAAAATTAGTGCTTTTCTACATCATATTTACATAGAAAAATGGATGAACGGAAGCCATGCGATATCTAATAGATGGCGGTGGAGTTCGGTCATTTTAAATCTTTTATTTTTAGTAAACTTGCTCAATTCCTAACCAGCCGTTTAATTGAATTTTCTAGTTGTTTCATTAATGAGTCGTATGTCAACATAGAAAAATACAGCTGTTATTCCAAAGCCCATTACCTTGGTAATTTATTTAAACATACACACGTACAAAAAGTGGGAACAAAATACACATGGGTCACAAGCCACAGCATCAAGGTATGGGCTAAAGTACTATCAGGGTGACCAAACCAAAGCAAGTAATTTTATCAGGGACCATTCCTCAAGTTGTTGACCCACATGTATACTTCATAGGGCAATGGAGCAACGTCAGAAAATGCAGTCCCATGATAGTAAATGAGCAATAATGGATTTATAAGCCACTATGAAGCTCATGTATATTGTCGGTTTGAATTCACGGTTCTCTAGCTTTTCCAGGAGGATTCTATGTACCCACAACTCGACAAAACGCCGGGAATTCTCTCTTCATTTCCTTAGCTTTTTAAACAATACTCAAGCCGTGAGAAGGCAATGAGTAGTATTCCCATGACAGTGTCTGTATATGCATGGCCATATGAAAGGATTTTGCGAGGGGAAAGGACTCATTCCATCATCAACCGTACCAGGGCATTCGTCTTAAAGAAAGACCATCTAACAATCTCCAATACAATAAGTTCCAAAAAAGTGGCCAAACTATGTGAATTCGCCGTAAAAGTGAATAGTTTATATTGATTTTGTTTTTGAAAGCAATGCGTCTAGGCTACACCAAACTTTTTTTATTATGAACAATCAATCACACGAAATAATACACTACAATTCACCCAAAGGTATTTCGTTTTATATATATACATATATATATATATAGAGAGAGAGAGAGAGAGTAGAAATCTTAGAAAGGGATGATCAAACATGAAATGAGCTTGATACTACGGTTTTACATAAAAAGAAGACTAAACCAATTAAAAAAAGTCCTATAAATACCCACCTCTGCATTGACAAGGCAAACATTATAATCTCTGATATTACTTATTCTAAGTAAATAACTAAATAATCACACGATGTTTGATAATACTACCTATGTCGCGAAGTATATTTGTATATCATCTGGTATTTGGCCTTTTTAAAAACGTTTCAATGGAATTTTGTGAATGCCATATAAAACGTTGAGCGTCAGAAAACCCAGATGCGTTTGAAACATGAAAGCTTTTGAAGCTTGGTTTGATGTTTATCAATCATGAGCTGAGTAACCTATTGGAAAATGAATGGCATCCACTTGCTGTAGCATGCATATTACAAAATTAAGAGATAGGAGATTCAGAAGCTACATGATGAAATATTGGTTATTAGAATGAACAGTCCCATCTGCAACTCTGATGGCTACTAAGGTTTACTGAAACAAATGATTATTAAGTTTGCTTGCATCTGACGCTTTTCCAGCAAAGTGACTAGCATGTAATGAAAAAACACTGATTGCATCTTTTGAAGAGGCAAGTTAGACGACATTTACCGCCATCCAGTAATCAAATAACTATCAGAACTAACTTACAGAACGATCGGTAGATCCAAGAACACATGTTTCTTTTAGGTTATGAAAGAACAAATCCTGTATAAAGTAGACCACTTAAATATTACTGTGACTACTTTTGAGGTTTCAATAACTATACCTTTCAAGTTTATTTGCAGGCAAAAGGATTTTATGTGAATACCTGATAACCCTGCTTCGATTGCTCACTCAAACTCAAACCATGCCAGCTTCTACGGAACTAATGATGTTTTCCCTAAAGTAGTTAAACTTAAACGGAGTCATTCATAATTCCGATATCTGATAAAAGATTCGATTAGAATATAATTAAATTAAAAATAATAAAAAATGAATTAGGGATTTCAAAAGCAAACAAATTTATAGAACTAACCAGGCATCTGTGTATCGAATGTAAACAAAAGACGGACTTTTCGAAACTCCGCCAGATCGCTGTTTAGTGTTACCGTAATCCAACATCCAATATCTGACCAAATGTCTTTTTCACGAGCTAGTAGAAACCTATTGGTTTCTATCCGCTCGATTCTTTTTCCTACGGTGCACTTCCAGGTTTTGGAGATTTCCCAATGAATGTTAGTCTAGCCAATCGACTGAACTTATTCCAGTCAGTCTGCTGTTATTTATGAATTTGCATGTTCCGTGATTTGAATCAGTGTGCTTGATTCAGAGCCGTAGTGTTTCCGGATACCGGAAGGTATCATATTACCAGGCCTAATATCAGTTAGTGTCATTGTGATGAAGGATAAGAATAGATTTCTAATGTTAACTAGATTTCAGAACTAAGTAAATAAATGGGTTAATTAATTAATTGGTAGTGAAGATAATGCAAGAGGAAAGGGAACATAGATAATAAGTGAGACAGATTAAGTTGGTGATATGAGGAAGTGACCATAACAACAACTAGTAAGTGTCAAGACACACATCAGTCACAGCTAGTCCAAGAGGGTGATGGTAATCCTTGAGTACGTGTTTATCAGGCCTCCCCTCTCATCTACCCACTGAGGCGGCTGCGGCAACCTTGGCTTGAAAAGTGTCCCGTACTGGTAAAACTTTCAGTGAGAAAACGAGAAGCGTACCTGAATGTTAGCTCTTTCATGTGCGATTTTTCGAAGATTACCTAAAGAAGTGTGGTGGATGCGTTTGTGTTTGCATCTCCTATGTAGTTTGAAGTCGTTTTCAGGCTCTTCGTGATTATCAGACTGAGATCGCGCTTCGAGTAGCCGTTTAGGGGATAAATTCCATAGAGGATGCAAATTATTTGCGTCACGTGGGGCCGAATATTCGTGATGTGACATTTCGACTGGTTAGGTTTTAACTGGTTGTTTACTGCTGATTCCTAAAATACCGTGAGGTCCTTTAGGAGTTTAAATGAATCGTCTTCGCTTCTTTTAAACCTGCAGATCTTCCTATAATCCAGATAGATTATTTGCGCTGAGCTAACTTTATCTAAGTCACTGGTAATTATCAGGAGTGGGTGCAAGATATTCCCCTACGAAATTCCTGACCGTGAGACTCGCCAGCTCGCAAGTACTCTCTTCACCATGGTGCTAAATATCCTGTCCTCTAGTTAGTTTCCGATCGGAAATTGAAGTGGATCAAGGAAGTCAATCTTCAAAACTTTAGCAATTAGTCGGGCGTGAGGTACAGTTTAGAAAGCTTTTGCGAAATCGATGAATAATATATGTACTGATACTTTTCAGCCCCAGCAAGCTGTCCTACTGTCACATGCAAGAGAATATTCACTGCACACGACCGGTAACTTCTAGACTCATGAGGAGTTTCTATGAGTCTATCGCCTTCATCCTTTCATTCCTATTTTTCTTCATTCACAAGCCCCTTCATTACTGTCAATAGTTTTGGCAGTAACTTGACTATATTGTGGCTGCTGTGACTTTTCCGATCCACACAACCTCATATTTGTGGAATTCCTTTCGGTCACAAAGGCAGCACGATATTATTGGCTCGTGTTTATTATGGAAGCTAGATTCACGCGCAATCGCTTTGGACTTCGGCGTTACACCTGTTTCTCAATGCGAACGATCGGGAGCTTTGAGAATGACTTCACGGATATCAGGCTCAACTCTTGTCTGTATGAAGCCATCAGTGCCTCGCTCAATCCGTGACCTTATCTTCTGAAGTGCTCGGCTCTCTTGAGTCGCTTTATTTAGAGTCCTGCAACGTGGGTTGCTAATGGAAGTCAACCAACGCCACTTTGGGCTAAATTTGGCTCACCAATGTACATAGGTCCGTAAAATATTTGATAGAACCAGGCAGATCTTTCCTCGTAGTGACATGCAAGCTCCTAGTTAGGTCCTCCCAGTTTCAAAGCCAACACACTTGAAGACCTAATTTTAGTTCCATTTAGCAGATGAGGCAGTAAGTACACGATTGTTTCCATGATGGGCTGAAGAGCTTAGCTACGTAATAAGCAAACCCACGTATGCCTCGTCCTAGTTTCCACCTACCAGCTCAGACACTCAGTGAATCACTGCAATAGTAATAATATTTATCCTCATGTGACAACCGGTTACATGCAACATGC